CCCAAATGACCTTTGACCTGCCTGTGACATCTTTTCCGGGACCATGTTTGGCCGGAGTCGCGATTCGGCGTATGTCGGCTCGCATTAGGTACCCGCGCGTTTGCAAGCTTTTCGTGGTTTCAAACGCTCAAACATGTGATTTGATGTTGCTCCCATGCATTAGGGTGGGTGTCAAGGTCACTTGAAGGTCAGGTCAGGTCATTGACCTTTGGTGACCTCGGATCACTTTTTCGAGTTTTACATGTTTCAAGGCTAATTTTTTGATCTGAATTCGAATTTAGCAACCATTTGAATATTTACGAAGTAGTTTTGGTGCCTTCGTAACATGTTACGAAGCTCTCAGAGGCGGATGACAGGTATTACGAATACCCGTCACGACCCCTACCGGTTGACCTGACCTGACCTGACCTGACCCGACCCGACCTGGTCTAAACGCTAAACGACATCATCTGTGATCAAAACTAACACGATATTCGGGATCAGCACCCCGGAAAACCCCTTAGCAGCCACGCTTTACGACTTTCTAACAGGTCCCGATATTCCCGATTTTTGGGTCATTCACCTGACCTGGAAGGTCAACCGATGACCTAGGACCTTAAAATTGGGTATCATTGGCTTCCTCTCGTGACGGCCAACACGCTCGTTTTTTTTCCGCGAAGCTCTAGCTCCATCAGGGGCCAAACGCGAAGGGGGGATTAGGTACCCCCTTGTGCCGTCGAAGGACTCAAAATGGCCTGTGCCGGCGAGGGCTAGCAGTGATGAAAGAACCGTCAGAGGCGGATAGTACTCGCTCCCACGGCCACAGGGGGTTAAACCTCGCTCTCTTGAGAACAATACGTCATTATGACGTCTTTGACTATTTGGGACCTAGCTTAGTTTGCGTAGGTGTCCTAGCCTCTTAAGAAAAAATTAACAGAGTTGCAATGAGCTCTCGATCACATTTGACCGTTCTCAGTTCGGACCAGTTTACAGTTATTGTTATTTTACCACTGTACGACGAAATTCAATGCTGTATAGCGACCATAAGAGGAAAAACACCTTTTTAATATTTTCATCATTCAAATGACAATGCGTTGAGAAGACTTTTACTGCAAAAATAAATTGCAAAAAAAGATCACATTCTCAAAGTTTGATTTTAGAAATAGATTATATGTAAAAAATCAAAAATAGAAAATTTTCCAAAGTAATTGATATCACAAAAATCTTTGTGTAATTCCAATTGTGGGGATATGCAGTTTTATATGAATCTAAAGAGTATTTAGCTAAATATCCGCGGATGAAATTTATTGTTTTTTTGCTAGTCATTAGGTCGCCTTGGGCAATACCTCCCAAAGTATTCGACGGATGTGATTGAAAATGTCACAACACGAATCGCCGGGCGCCCCATAGCCGAATTTTCATTAAAATTGGAGAGGTAGGGTGTCATTCCGCGATTTTTTTGGTCGATTTGTCGTGGGAATGCCCCAGATTTACATAAAGGTTGCGGGTGGTGCAGCATTTTTGCATGCATATTTAGACATTGAAAGTGGATAGGTTTGGCGAGGGCCATTTCTTTCAAACAAAATGGTCAAAGCCTCTCAAATAAAGGTCACGAATCCTTATCGTGTTAGAGTTCATGACCTAGTGCTCATTGCCCCATGCCCCTAGCAATAATACAGTCGACCTGAGCCATAACACAGCTGAGCGTTTATTACATCCATTAGCCTCTCAATGGGGGTAGATTTAACGTGCCTTATGCTTACAAGGAACACATTGGCGGGTGTGGCTAGCGTCGCCATGGCTAATGTATAGGCGCCGCCCGCAGGTGTCGCCATTACTGGCGGTGGACAGGTGTGCGCCGTTACTGGCGGTGGACAGGTGTGCCACTGAGGCTGACGGCACACAGCCGTACACTATTGGCTCATATCGCACAGTGGATCGATCGCTCGACGGCCATCCAATGGCACTGCCGTCAGCCGGGTGCAGGTATCGCCGCATACCCGGTCAGTGGCCCGAGGCTTTGAAACAGGTGTCAGTAGCCCTTTTTACGACGGAACATTGAATGCCTGTTTGAATAAATTTGAACGCAAAGAGGCCCAGGTAATCGACATTTCGTCCGAAAGGTGGAAAAGTTTAACAATTAACTTCTAAAATTTAGCAGGGATCAAACGGATCAAACCCTTCAAAGGGCGGTTGGTTACATACTTGATGGGCAAGCTGGACAGTATTTCAGACTACATGTATAATATACATAGATACGATGTACATTTTTATTTATTTACGAAGTAGTTTTGGTGCCCTCGTAACATGTTACGAAGCAGTCAGAGGCGGTTGACACCTACTACGAATGCCCGGCAGGACCCCTACTGGTTAACCTAACCTGACCTGACCCGACCTGGCCTAGATGCATTAACCCTCGCCCGCACATGGGGGGGGTGGTTGCCACCCCCCCCAGGCAGTCTTTCTGCTCTGCACTCAACATTTTTAGAGCTAGAAGGCTGATTTTTCGTATAGCTGCTCGTCTATCCTTTCTTGATGTCCACTGAAAATTTCAAGTTTCTGTGATTTTTGGTTTCGGAGATATGACCTTGTTTTTCAGGTCATGTCATGACCCAAATGGCCAATTCTCAACATCTTGCGTTTGCCATGGGCCTTGTGAGCTTTTGACACCCTGATTTCGGCCTTTTTTGCCAGTCTTACCTCCCACCTATCATGGAACATGTTGTTCGACGATGTACAGGGGTCAAGGTCAGGGTCAAGGTCAACCTAGGTCATCTAAGATAATTGCGTTTTAGGCAAGCTGAATTTCCTTTTTGTGAAGTTTTTTGACTGCATTTTTGGTAAAAGCTTCTCAGATCATGATTTCATGTGATATGGACCCAAAAACAATCGATTCACACATCAGTATACACACAGACACACACAGACATACAAACACATATAGTTGACCTTGACCTAACTTGACCTGAAATGACCTCAGCAGCAAAATTCTGGTCGGATAGTGTGACAAAGAGGTTCTAGCTGGCTTGGCACCAGAAAACAGCATCGTCATCGGTATTTGATAAGCAGCGCACTTGATATCCAACGGTGACCCAAAACAGCAACATTTTTTAGTTTGACCTGACCTGGAAGGTCAATGACTGACCTGAGAAGGTAAAACTGGGTATCATTGGATTCGTCTCTTCCCAAAGAATCTTTTTGGTCTTTACTGCTAAGCTCTATCTCCAACAGGAACGAAATGGCGCGGGGGGGGTGGCAACCACCCCCCCCCCATGTGCGTTCTAGGATGGGAAAATGGCATGTGCGGGCGAGGGTTAAGACATCATCTGTGATCAAAACGAACATAATATTCGTGATCAACACCCCGAAAAACCCAATAGCAGCCACACTTTTCGACGTTCTAACAGATCCCGATTTTCCCGACTTTTGAGTCATTGACCTGACCAGGAAGGTCAACCAATGAACTAGGACCTTAAAATTGGGTATCATCGGCTTCCTCTCGTCACTGGCAACACGCTCGTTTTTTCTGCGAAGCTCTGGCTCGTTCAGGGGCTAAACGGCAGGGGGGGGTCCGACGGATCCCCCTCCTTATACGTTCACGGCCGGAAAAACACCAATACGGGCGAGGGTTAAAATGGTTCAGGAGTGAGGTGTAGTCCATGGAATGGCAGCGTGTTTGCAGGGCGTGCACCCTCCATTCGAAATTCTGTGTGCTCGCCTGATCATGCGTTGAGGCAGACGTCACTCATGGACGAGCCTGGCTTATCCCGGCGGCCGCTGGGCCTCCGCGCCACCCGCCGGCCGCTGGGGGGGGGCATAAAGTTGCCCCCCCCTTTACTTCTGCGACGATATCGTCGCAACGCGAAGAGATAGAGAAGCGAAACTTTGCACACATCTTCCTGAATACCTAGCCGAGGTTGTGTCCAAATTTGGTGTCGATCCCATTTGAAATGACGTCACAGTGACGTCATAAGTGAAATTATAGATTTGCGACTTTCATATTCCTCACGATACATCACATATATGGGACCGAATATAAAGGGCCGATAATTGGTCAGAAACTAGATGGAAGTGTAGTAAGATGTTTTAGGATGACAGCAGGTGCTGTCTAGTTCATTTACAGTCGAGTTGCATGCTCAGCGTCATCAGAAACGGTCCATATCGGAAAACGACAAAACTTTATGACGTCACTGTGACGTCATCTTAGGTGCTATTACCACCAAACTTTCCTCAAACATTGCCTAGGTATTCATTTGAAGCTATGCCAAGTTTCACGTTCGTAGCTTATCAGGTTTCGGAGATATTTCACAAAACGTAAAGGGGGGCAACTTTATGCCCCCCCCCCAGCGGCTCGTGGGTTATCAACAAACAAACAGCAAAATTGAGCCTCCTTGCCGTCTCATTCCTGACAGAAAACGAAATTGGTCACTAGTGGGACATGCATAGGACCCCAAACAAAGCGCACACAATTCCCACATGTAGAGCGTTAACAGTGACCGCTGGTCCCTGACCGATGCTGACCGCTGGTCGCTGACCGATGCTGTCCGCTGGTCCCTGACCGATGCTGACCGCTGGTCCCTGACCGATGCTGACCGCTGGTCCCTGACCGATGCTGACCGCTGGTCCCTGACCGATGCTGACCGCCGCGCTGGTCGCTGACCGATGCTGACCGCTGGTCCCTGACCGATGCTGACCGCTGGTCCCTGACCGATGCTGACCGCTGGTCCCTGACCGATGCTGACCGCTGGTCCCTGACCGATGCTGACCGCTGGTCCCTGACCGATGCTGACCGCTGGTCCCTGACCGATGCTGACCGCTGGTCCCTGACCGATGCTGACCGCTGGTCGCTGACCGATGCTGACCGCTGGTCCCTGACCGATGCTGACCGCTGGTCCCTGACCGATGCTGACCGCTGGTCCCTGACCGATGCTGACCGCTGGTCGCTGACCAGTTGTGATCGCCAGTCTCTGTCCAGTTGTGATCGCCAGTCTCTGACCGATGGGTGACCTCTGACCTGGCAGGCAATCAGCCGATCGACCCCGAATTCGACATCATGGCTCCGGGCCTGGCGATGGACTACCGGATCTGGGTGGAGGCCGGCAAGGAGGAGTGCTTCTACCAGTACGTCCAGCCAGGGGCTCAGTTCTACGTCAGCTTCCACGTGAGTCTCTGACAGCGATACTCAGTTTTACGGAGCGGTAGAGATCGCCGACGCGTGGCTATATTATTTAACACGCACAGTGGAAGGAGGAGGGCGAATTTCGCCCACCCCTGCTGTTTTTCGCCAATAACTCACGCCGTTATCATAATAGCGACGTGAATTTTTCGGTACCTACCTGTCCAGAATGGAATTGCGGATCTTCTCGTTCAAGCAATAAATAAATTGGTTGACAACCTTTCTTGTACACCTTTTTGCATTTGAATTCAACCATTCGCCATAACTGTTTGAGGAGCCATTTTGACAATCGGCATTGAGCATAACTATTCCGACGTTGTCATAGTAGGCGGCGGAGGGGGGGGGGGGGGGAGTAGCACCGGGGCACCGTGTCCCTTGATTTTAGAAAAGCGGCGCCAATAGCGAAGTGCCCCCATTACATTTTGTGCATGAGTCAGATGTTTGCTCAAAGAAGTAGGAACAGAAGCAAATGACTTCCTTGTCACTTTCTTTATTCACTATATTTAGTTTTATTGTCATTAACCAGGCAGGCGACTTTCCGCGCGGTAGGGGGCATTTTTTTGCCCCCCCCCGTATCTCCGAAACTATTAGACGGATCCGGAAAATTCAAACGGTGTTCGAAAGCCCTGTCAAATTTGTTGAAAGAAACCAACTTTAATTTACCTCGGGGTCACCGATGACGTCACAGTTCAGGTCAAATATAAAATTTTTCACCGTTCACGGGTCTTCTAGGGAATGCGCTATAACACCGATGAAAACGCATTTTCTCGAAAATCAGCGATAGGGCGTCAGTTGCCTAGTACATATGTTGCTATTAGAGGTCGCTGACAATGCCAGGTCGGGTCACAGGTCAGGTCACCAAGAATCAGCACAGGAACCCAACTTTACTAAGGTTGTGCGATACATGTTTATGGCCATTTTTTCATTTCCAGCTCAATGGTGTTGGTTATAAGACCATCAGGTACGGTTTAGGTCTCTTTCTGGTGGAGGTCAGGTCAAGGTCAGATAAAAAAGGTGGAATTTCAAAGTTGATAGTTTTACATAAAATGGGCATTGATTCGATGCAGCTCGTCATGGGGAGTCTAATGGCAATCTTTTTTGCGCTACGAAGTCTAGAATTGCTAAAAATTGAGTTTGAAAATTTGACGTCACCAATTCTGAACAGTTTTTTCGCTATAACTTGTCAAAAAAAGAGGTATCGATCTCAAATTTGGTATGTATGTACTTATAGAAGGCGGTAAGGACTATCACATATATTCTGTTTTTTTTTTCGAAATTCAAAAAACTTTGGATTTTCGGCTAATATATTCAAAAAATCTTTTTTTTAATTTTTGGGGGTCAAAATAAAAAAAATTCACGAATCCGAGACAGCAGTTTTGTAGCCTAGTTAATTCTGCACCTTTTATGTTGAAGCATTTTCCTGTATCTCCAAAGCTGTAGGCCTGACAGCTCTTCCCGCGAAACCTTTTTTGGGTCGAAAATGGCAGAAATGACGTCACTCCGACGTCATTAGCGGCCAACCTATCATAGCCTTTGTAAAAAATTTTGGTCACAATGTGCAATAGCTATTCACGGGAGGGTACTGAAAGTTTGGTGACGATCAGCGCAGCGGTTCTAGAGATATATCGAGAAACTAAATGGGGGGTGGGCAAATAATCCCCCCTCGCCGCCTGGAAGGTTAACCCGCGACCTGGTGGGGGGGGCTATTTTTTGCCCCCCCCCTCCAGACTTTTCGATATATCTCCAGAACCGCTTACGCCGATCGTCACCAAACTTTCAGTACCCTCCCGGACATCAATTTTACACATTGTGACCAAAATTTTTTTCCAAAGGCTATGATAGGTTGGCCGGAAATGACGTCAGAGTGACGTCATGTTCTGCCGTTTTCGACCCAAAAAAGGGTTTCGCGGGAAGAGCTGTCAGGCCTGTAGCTTTGCAAATACAGAAAAATGATAAAAACATAAAAGCTGTAGATTGGACAGGGCTACAAAACTGCTATCTCGGATTTTTGAAATTTTTGGATTTTAAGCCCCAAAAATCAAAAATAGATTTTTTGATATAATAATCGAAAAATCCAAAAAGTGTTTTGAATTTCGCAAAAACCGGAATATATGTGATAGTCCTTACCGCCTTCCATCCACATACCAAATTTGAGATTGATACCTCTTTTTTGGCGAAGTTATAGCGAAAAAACTGTTCAAAATTGATGACGTCAAATTTTCAAACTCAATTTTTAGCAATTCTAGACCCCGTAGCGCAAAACAAAGACCACCATTAGACTCCCCGTGACGAGCTGCATCGAATCAATACCCATTTTATGCAAAACTATCAACGTTAAAATTTGACCTTTTTTGGCTTGACCTTGACCTGACCGTGACCTGAACTTCACCAGAAAGTGCCCTAAGCTTGACCTGATAGTCTTATAACCAACGCCATTGAGTTGGAAATGAAAAATTGGCCATAAAACATGTATCACACAACCTTAGTAAAGTTGGGCTCATGTGACCTGACCTGTGACCCTTGGTGACCTGACCTGTGACCTGACCTGGTATTGCCAGTGACCTCTAATAGCAACATATCTACTAGGCAACTGACGCCCTACCGCTGATTCTCGACAAAATGCGTTTTCCTCGGTGTTATAGCGCATTCCCTAGAAGACCCGTGAACGATGAAACATTTCATCTTTGACCTGACCTGTGACGTCATCGGTGACCCCGAGGTCAATGAAATTTGGTTTGCTTCGACAAATTTGACAGGCCTTTCGAACGCCGTTTGAATTTTGCGGATCCGTCTAGTAGTTTCGGAGATACGAGGGGGCAAAAAATAGCCCCCCCCCACCAGGTCGCGTTATAAACAGACCCCACCAGGGCGCGGGTTAAATAATGGTTACAAAAATACCTATTTGTGTACCAATTTCCAATGCTTTATAGACAGACAAAGTGAACACTCAGGCCGCGTCGCGCTAGAATGGCAAATCCGCCCAGTGTGCAGTGTGGGCAGCGCAGAGACAGTCTTAGCTGCTATGCATCCCTGCTCAGGGGAGCGTGAGGCTGACCAGCTGACTTTTCCGCTCAGACGCTGCGCGGCGGGGATGGCATGACGGGGTTCGCGGTGCGCGACCCCACCGGCCAGCTGGTCCACCCGTACCAGTGGAAAAAGCAGTCCGAGTACGAGACCACCTCCGAGACGGGCGGCTACTTCACCTCCTGCATCGACAACCAGTTCTCCCGCTTCGCCGGCAAACTGGTCAACATGTACCTGACCACCTTCAGGTAACTGCTGCTTTCAATACCTATAGGCTACACCTGTCACCTACCAGTCATTCTTACTGTTCAACATCAGAGAGCTTATGTTACAATGATGAAACAATTTGAAGGACTCATCACTCAGGTTCAACTAAGACTTACTTCAAGCGACACCCATGGCCCTTTACGGAGGGTTTCGATAAGTCCTGTAGGTACCTGTAACGTCTCTGTCAGTTATCCTTCAGGATCTGCTGTCAGCTATCCATAGGCGCGGGAACCGGGGGGGGGGGGGGCAGTGGGGGCAGGTTGCCCCTACAACTCTGGGGCGGTGGGGGCGGTACCCGCACAACTTTGAGACGGAATGTCGCACTTTTTATGCAAATGTTTTTCTTTTCTTTTTGTTGAAAAAGTCAAGGGATGACAAATAATTGGCCTAAAACCGGTGAGAAAACTAGATTTGAGGCACCCTAGGTTGACCTTTATTATGCTGTGCAGTGTGCCCCCAAATCTGAAAGTAGTTCCCACGCCCCTGCAGCTATCCATCGGCCTATGTTAGCATAGGCGCGGGAACTACTTTCAGACTGGGGGGGCACACCATAATGGAGATGAACCTAGGGTACCCCCAAATCTAGTTTTCTCGCCGGTTTTAGGCCACTTATTTTTCATCCCTTGGCTTTTTCAACAAAAAAGAAAAACATTTGCAAAAAAGTGCAGTATTTCGTCTCAAAGTTGTGGGGGCACCGCCCCCACGGCCCTAGAGTTGGGGGGGCAAGCTGCCCCCACTGCCCCCCGGCTCCCGCGCCTATGTCTGTTAGTTATCCGCCACGGGCGTCACCTTCCGAAATGTATTGTTAGGGCTCTACCTAATGGTTAGTTCTATCATACCAAAAACCGGTCTCCGTCAGTTATCCACCGGCCTTTGTCAGGTACCTATCCACGTTTGCTATCAATTCTGTCATCTAGGTATGTCCATCGGTTTCTGTCAGTATTTCACCGGTCTGTGTCGGTTTCCCACCAGCCTCTGTCAGTTATACCTACATTGGTTTCGGACTCGGTCAGTTATCCTCTAATTTCTGTCAGTTTTTGACTGGTCTCTGTCAGTCATCCACCGGCGTCTATCAGTTATCCGCCGGCCTGTCAGTTATATACCGGTCTCCGTCAATTAGCCACCTGCATCTGTCAGTTATCCGTCGGCCTCTCTCAGCTATCCGTATGTTATCCGGCCTGCGATGCGCCGCCGACTGCACCACGCTGCACACGTCTGGCTGTATTCCGGCACAGCATACCTACCTACCCACAGAAGACGGCGGCGCGCGCCGAATTCTGTTGCTGACGTAACGTGATATTTGACGGCTTTTTAAATATCATACTCACGCCTGTTTCAGATACGATGAGTGGGAGCAACATTCGGACGAGCTGGAACAGTACGATATTGTCGCAACAAACTTCACGGTAAGCCTCGCTGCACGCTAACCTAACTAATCCGAGGAACAGTAAATATAGGTAGGTAGGTACCTATCGGCATTAGATAACATCAGCTACTCCTGGTCACCATAGTTATTTCAATCACCGATGGAATAGTTCAACGCAAGTTGCTAGTGTTATACCGGCTGTCAATAACCATTTATCCCTCGGCCATGAAGGGGGGGGGGGTTGGTGCAACCCCCCCCTGAGGTTTTTCTTAGCTACACGCCGAACCGTTTCAGATAGCCTGCTCAAATTTTCAGTACCCTTTGGGGCATCTTTTGCGCAACTTTTGGTTATTTTTTTTGTCAAGGTCGTGTCAGGTCACGGAGTTATGACGTCATAAAGGGAACAACCTCCGGCCAGATTTACGCTAAATTGGAGATTGCTTCACATTGGTATAAATGCCGACTGACCTGACGCACTGATGGATTGTTTTAGAATCACAACTGGCTGATTTGACATTGGCACAATGTCCGTTGACATTTGAAGGTCACTAAAGGTCAAGGTAAGGTCAGTGACCTCGGTTGACCTGTAATGACTTCTTGCACTTGTATGCCTTTTCGGGGTATTTTGATGCCCTGAATTCGAATTTGCTATCCATTTCAGGCATCGTCGGTTGTTTCTTGTAGCTCATTTTGGGTCAGGGTCAGGTCAGTGACGTCACACGCCTGACGTGACCCAATGCACAAATGACCTTGCAAGACTTCCGATGCTCCCAACGCATCATTTTTAGAGTTACGACATCGAAATACACACCAAACGATAGATAATTGATCAAGGATCACGATAGTGAAGGTTTCAAGTCGATATCTCTTACCGTTTTGCCGCAATCGGCGCGGAAATCTGAAAAAGTTAGATTTTTCCGAAAATTTGACCTTTGACCGGTCATAAGTAGGTCAAATGTTGACCTAGGACCAAAAAATATACCACCAATCGCGAGATCTCGTTGAGAGCAATCCGTTGGTCTTTTCCGCTAAGCTCTACGACGCTTCGTTTTCAAACACCAGGGGGGAGGGGGGTCGCACCAACCCCCCCCTGCATGAGCGAAGGTGGCAAAACACCGTTTACGGGCGAGGGCTATATGGGTACCTAGCGGACCTATAATCTACCTTATTACTCCGCTGAACTCAACAGATTTCTCCTTTAGCAATAAAGAACCGCGTGACACCCCCGGCGCACGTTTCTCAGCCGATAGTTGCGCCCCTGTCGCGTCCCTCCGACACCACGCTGCCTCCGTCTGAGCTCCGGAGACGTCGCCCGCCGTGGGCACCGGTCGGCTCCCTGCTGACCGCTGTGCTCCGTCCCCGCCGTGGGCACCGGTCGGCTCCCTGCTGACCGCTGTGCTCTGTCCCCGCCGTGGGCACCGGTCGGCTCCCTGCTGACCGCTGTGCTCCGTCCCCGCCGTGGGCACCGGTCGGCTCCCTGCTGACCGCTGTGCTCCGTCCCCGCCGTGGGCACCGGTCGGCTCCCAGCTGACCGCTGTGCTCCGTCCCCGCCGTGGGCACCGGTCGGCTCCCTGCTGACCGCTGGCTCCGTCCCCGCCGTGGGCACCGGTCGGCTCCCTGCTGACCGCTGTGCTCCGTCCCCGCCGTGGGCACCGGTCGGCTCCCTGCTGACCGCTGTGCTCCGTCCCCGCCGGCAGAACGGGCTCGGTCTGGTGGACCACAAGGTGCAGATCGCCAAACAGTACCTGAGCCACTCCAAGTCGCGCGCCGCCAACGACTGGGAGCTGCTCATCTCCAACAACGCGTACGTGCTGCGCTGGTCGCTGATCCAGGTGGTGGTGGTGGTGGCCACCGGCTGCCTCCAGGTGTTCTTCGTGCGCAAACTGTTCGACACGCAGGCCAAGCCCCGCGGACGGATATGAGACGGACATGTGGGTCCGCCCAGTGCTGGCCACGGCTGTGTCCGGTGAGCCCCGCGGAGGCCGCGGCTGTGTCGGGTGAACCCCAGAGACCGAGTGTGTTTAGAGGAGCGACCGCCGCGGTGGACCGTGTACAGTGTCGTGTGACGGACGTATGGTCACGTTAACGGCAGCTGCCGGGGAGTGTCGGCGAGTGACTGTGTGCTATCCGCGCATTGATGGCTGCTCTCCGGGTGCGCCGCTGTGTGTCAGAGGGCCGGCTTCCCCGGTGTGTCGGCATGTCAGACGGGCGCGGCGCGGCCGTGTCAGCCGACTGCGGCTCGATGCCGGCGAGGTATGCAGGTGGGACGGTGAGCGGACGCGGCTCGGGAACTCGGACAGGGCTGGTGGAGGTTACCGTGGCCACATCAACAGCGTGGTCCACATGATCTGACATACGTACCTACTTTTTACATTCCTGTTTTACTATGCGACTTCGCATTTTAACGAATGAGCATACCTACCAAACGCGTGCATGTTTGCTCATTTGACATGCTTGTGATTCAAGGGAAGGTAACTCGGCAGTCGGCGGTGGGTAGGTACCAACATTATGTCAGTTATTTTATCTGGCTTCTCTGGTGCAATGTATGTATTTGTTGCTCTTTCCCCTGAATCTCCCATTCATTATCGGTGCCTTTGTTGGATACCTACTTCATAAAATCAAAATAAATATGACATGTTTGAAGCTGTTTTAGGTCCATAGGCAGTGCCTAAATGGTATGTAGGTACAGTTATCGACCCACTAGCTTGGTATTCTGCAAGTGATATCGCATGCCCCAGTTCCCTCTATTCCATGTTGCATTGCTAGCATGTCGGCTGCCAAATGAGGTCTGCGTAGATATAGCGTGCAGAGACGGTGTAATGTTTTCCAATTGTAAACGACACTGACGTCTTATGGCGAACAATGATCGGCGGGACTCGCCTAATGCAAACTGTTAGCGCTGGTTGATGCTCCGCCGTCACGGCCGACTGTGTTTAGCCCGTGAGCGGCGACGGAGCGTCCCCGGCAATAATACCCACGAATACGCAGCGCTGGAGTTCACAGAGGCGATTGAATGTCTGACGAACACGCACACGAACTCCGATACATATGCACACTACACTGTATGTCAGTCGTCCGAGTTTGAGCCTGAATGTAAATCGCCTTCCTATAGTGCACGAAATGGCTGTTCTGTTGATATTATTTCATGTTTCATAATATTTTCCCTCCCATGCATGCGGGGGAAGCTGCCATAACCCGCGCACCGACGGGGGTCTGCGCCAACTTACAACCGACGACAAGCGGTAAACGGCATGGGGTACACACGGACAAGGCCCACCATTTTTACTAAGGTCATTTTCAGGTCAGGTCAAAGATGACGTCACAGGGCTAAAAAAAGTCAAAATGGCGGTGCATTAGATATGGAGAGTTTTTCTCGAAAAACGTTTGAAATAGTCAAGCTAGGAACAAACTAAGGGCATCATCGTAATCCTCTCGTCAATCCGCATTGAATCATAACTATAACTATACCTATATATATATATATATATATATATATATATATATATATATATATATATATATATATATATATATATATATATATATATATATATATATATATATATATATATAGATAGATAGATAGATATAGATATATAATATATATATATATATATATATATATATATATATATATATATATATATATATATATATATATATATATATATATATATATATATATATATATAATATATATATATATATATATATATATATATATATATATATATATATATATATATATATATATATATATGCATTTCAGATTAAAATTCACAGCAGTTTGAGCGTTGTTGACTTTCTTATGAAGGTTCTCGATTCGTCGGATTAGCTGTCTTGTTTCACTATTATGTTCAAAAAGGATGTTGGAGAATGATTCTCTATTATAGGTATACGACGTTTCGTTCGGACATCGAACATCAACAGGTGATAAATTCAGGCGAACATAGGTATACACAAGAATGGGATAAATAATACTATAAATGCTCCTGTTGTGCTCCTGTAGTGCTCCTGTTGAACGCAGCGTGGAACATTGCATTTAACTAGTGGAGTGTAAGATGATTTCACCGTGCCGATAGCGACTAATGTGCATCATTTACGATTATGCGAATCATTTATAGTATTATTTATCCCATTCTTGTGTATATGTTCGCCTGAATTTATCACCTGATGATGTTCGATGTCCGAACGAAACGTCGTATATAATAGAGAATCATTCTCCAACATCCTTTTTGAACATAATAGTGAAACAAGACAGCTAATCCGACGAATCGAGAACCTTCATAAGAAAGTCAACAACGCTCAAACTGCTGTTAATTTTAATCTCAAATGCATTACAGAGAACCTGCTTCCCAAGTATAGAGAGAGAGAGAGAGAGAGAGAGAGAGAGAGAGAGAGAGAGAGAGAGAGAGAGAGAGAGAGAGAGAGAGAGAGAGAGAGAGAGAGAGAGAGAGAGAGAGAGAGAGAGAGAGAGAGAGAGAGAGAGAGAGAGAGAGAGAGAGAGAGAGAGAGAGAGAGAGAGAGAGAGAGAGAGAGAGAGAGAGAGAGAGAGAGAGAGAGAGAGAGAGAGAGAGAGAGAGAGAGAGAGAGAGAGAGAGACAGAGAGACAGAGAGAGAGACAGAGAGACAGAGAGACAGAGAGACAGAGAGACAGAGAGACAGAGAGACAGAGAGACAGAGAGACAGAGAGACAGAGAGACAGAGAGACAGAGAGACAGAGAGACAGAGAGAGAGAGAGAATAAATGCCTTTTAGTGGTTGCAGTGAATTAGTAGGCTATGTCAAATTATTGCTGTGTTTTAGAGGACATTTTGACAGAATTGACGGTTCTGGCGCAGATGTTTCAAACAAAAAGTTTTGAAAAACAGTGCAAGTGATAAATTCCGTAATCCTTTGATATTATTTGTGAGTATAGGTGCGCGCTGCGGTTAGGTTGTAGGTTTTGTGTAGGTTTGTTGGGTTTAGGTTGTAGGTTGTAGGTTGGTAGGTGTAGGCAAGGCTATATAAACCTAAACCTACGGGTGCCGGTTGTAGGTAAGTGATATAGGGCCTTGGGTAAGTAGGTAAGGTTGGGTCAGGTTTGATTATGTTATTTCCTTTTATATGCGAGACATGTATCATTTTTGGATTCAGGATGTCAAATTATGTAATATTGTGAAAAATTATCCTAGAAATCTTGGACTTTATCTTGACATTTACTGAAAAATTTAGCAATTTTTTCACAGGTTCAGGTTCTACCAATGACCCACAAATAGAGCAAGAGACTTCCTAGAACTATTTCATTGACTTTGACATTTATCAGGGTCATACTGATACTATTTACTGGAATATTTGCCAGCTGGCACATGTGATGGCGCTGGCGTTTTAAATTAATGCTAGATATAAACAACTAAATATGTACCTATCTTATCTATTAATTTTTCTGTGCCACTTAACATGTTCATGTCTATCTACTACAGTGGTTATATGAATAAATGATATGGCTATCGTACATCGTTTTATCCAGTTGTTAGTAAGGCCCACTGTTATCGTACATGTGTGGACGGCCACTTAACACCACGACCACTTGGCATATCAATCACCACATTCTCCTGTGCCAATATCATTCTGTGAATTTTAACCAGAACTGTGAACCTTTCAGCAGATGACCTTCACACCAGAAAGATGAATGAAAAGTTAAAAGTGATTGTTGAGGAACTTGGCAAAGATCCATTCAACAAGAAGTACAATGTTATAAGTTTTGATGCCCTTGGATCAGAGCAGCTTCTCCAGGTCTGTACCTGCACAGGGCTGTAGCTTGACATGAAACATTATTTTCCATGCTTTATTCATCATGTGTATATGCCTGCCTAAATGATTTATATAGTTGCTATGCCAGAAACTAGGAAGCACATCTTTCACTAAACTCTGAAGAGCATCTGTATTTTATAAGGCAGAGGCTATGTGCTATTGGTCTCAAAATAAGGATTCTGAAGACCAGTAGTTGGGTTGTGGTGAGTGCCCCTTTGTGGTCACTCGAGTGACTCAGGGTGCTCTATAGGGTGTCAGAAAATTATTTGCCTCTCGTTCATTCAGCTATAATCCCACGGTGCGCTTTAAAAACTGTTGAAAATTTGCTAAGATCGTGCCTCAGGCTATCCACAGCTGTTCATTAGCCACATGACCTAACCCGGTCACCTGACCTTGACACTTGCGAGGCGCCAGGGGCCAGTGTTTGGCAGGCATAACTTACACCTGAACGTGGTGTCTACTTTGACGAAAGAAACTTTGACAATGTGTCATCCCGCTGAAGTGATGGTGAAGACTGGAATGAAGTAGGAAGTCAAATAAAATCCTCTGTCCTAATCCCAATCATCCCAATCGAAAACCTATGGGGAATCATGAAGGAGGACCTCAGCAAGATTGAACCTGCTCACACAGAAAACAGACTTAAGAGGAACCTGTGAAACATGTGGCTGAACATCAGTGCGGATACTCTGGACATATTGATCTATGGAATGCCAAAGTGGATGAGGGAATGGTTAGGACAGGACAGGGGATAGATCGGTAACGAAACCATGACCCGAGGGCTCTTTTGTTTATTAATAATGGTGGCAAGTTGATGGAGGGGCAAATAATTTCCAGACACCCTGTATGCCCAAGTCTGACAGCTGTGGTGTTGGTCAACATCTAACACTTGTTGGCCAGACAGCTGAGTGCATTCAGACTGCATGGTGATGTGAGTAGGTAATGATGATGAAGAGGCCATGATGTCCTCTTTGATGGCCCTATGTTACTGACCACTTCCTAACTGTTCCACGCCGCAGGCTCTGAATGATGTCTTTGCGGAGATTGACAGTCAGCATGCCATCGACCTACGAGAGGAGCCGCCTGAGGAGACAGTCATGAGGATGCTGGCTTTCCTACGCATCCTCAAATATCAGCCTCAGGCAGACCCGTGAGTGTGCCCTTGCACCGCGGGTGCTGGACTGACTGACTGTGAGTGTATTGCAGACTGTGGATAGACTGTGCCCTGTGAGTGTACCACAGAACCAGTCCTGGACTGACTGTGAGTATACTGGACTGTGGATGGACTGTGCCCTGTGAGTGTACCACAGAACCAGTCCGGGACTGACTGGCTGCAAGCTGCGCCTGTGCTGACCGGACAGGGCTCTGACTATTGGCGGAAACGGCGATGCAGTGATTTGTGCTGATTTCCATTCCGTTGGCTTCCGGCTGCGTTTGACCATAGTAAACGGCGCTCGGTGCCCCTCAGGAGCTCATTCCGCCAGGGACTGGTGTCAGGTGAGAAGTACATCATCTACCCGATCTTGGAATGGTGTCTTCTGAAACTGCCCGACCTGAAGAAGCGAGCCTACTTGGCGCGATACTTGGTCAAAATCGAGATCCCGGGCGACATCCTCACCGACCCGGAGCTGGACGTTATGTACAGACAGGTACGTACGCACGTCGGCTGGACTTTATGTACAGACAGGTACGTACGCACGTCGGCTGGACGTTATGCACAGACAGGTACGTACGCACGTCGGCTGGACGTTATGTACAGTCCACAGCAGAAGTAATGTGTGGTTTCACTCATGGGTATGTTCTGCTTCTGAAGCCTAGGAACGATTAGCCAGACTGCAACGAGACTTTAAATGTAGCTTACATGTATCTTCACCCTTGCAGCTACAACTTTATCAGCTATTGACGTCTTCTTTTCAATCAGTCCGCATTTAAAAATCGTCGGTCAAAGCCATCCGTTGAGATTGTTAAAACCACACATTACTTTAGCGGTGGGCTGTACAGACAGGTACGTACGCACGGCTGGATGTTATGTACAGACAGGTACGTACGCACGTCGGCTGGACGTTATGTATAGATAGTTACGTACGCACGTCGGCTGGACGTGATGTACAGACAGGTACGCGGTACGCACGTCGGCTGGACGTTATGTTCAGACAGGTACGTATGTACGCACGTCGGCTGGACGTTATCTACAGACAGGTACGTACGCACGTCGGCTGGGCGTTATGTACAGACAGGTACGTACGCACGTCGGCTGGACGGTATGTAACGTGTACAGACAAGTTAAGTAACACTTATTGAGAAATACCCGGAAGAAGATAACGGCCTTTGCCCTTTTTAGCCACCAGAGCAGTGATAAGCTAATTCAACCTCTTTTCACCTGTTTGTGGACGGACTGCTGGATGCCATCATAGCACGGCTGCCGGTCCCTCGGTCTCGCTCACACTCCTCGGCCTACCCCAGTGCGAGGTGGGTCGCTCACTGTGGCACCTGGTCTCCCCGCAGTACGAGGACCTTATCGAGGAGTTTAAGGCCACTCACAAGGAGTACGAGGCACTGCGCAACTCCGTATTTCAAACCGCCGAACTCCGCAAGGACATCGCCGCAATGGAAGAGGAACGCGAGATCGTCACGAAAAAAATCGAACGGCTAAAAAATAAGGTAACACAGTTCACACTGGGTAGCCGGACTTTTTTTGATATTTAAGTGTTGGCCAGAGATGGTTCCGATCGTTGTTCGCATATTTTTAAGTATATTTCGCTTTGTTCTGTGGAATATTTCTTTTTAATATATATATATATATATATATATATATATATATATATATATATATATATATATATATATATATATATATATCCTACGCAAAATTTGAGTCTATCTTGAGTATACTCGATACGAGAATAACCGTCAATGTTTATTGATGAGTGTCTCGCCGTCTGGCCTCTGAGGCCTCTGGCGACTGGTGACACCCGGTGCCCCTCTGGTGACGCCCGGTGCCCCTGTGGTGACGCCCGGTGCCCCTGTGATAACGCCCGGTGCCTCTCTGGTGACGCACGGTGCCCCTGTGGTGACGCACGATGCCCCTGTGGTGACGCCCGGTGCCCCTGTGGTGACGCCCGGTGCCCCTGTGGTGACGCCCGGTGCCCCTATGGTGACGCCCGGTGCCCCTCTGGTGACGCCCGGTGCCCCTCTGGTGACGCCCGGTGCCCCTGTGGTGACGCCCGGTGCCCCTATGGTGACGCCCGGTGCCCCTCTGGTGACGCCCGGTGCCCCTATGGTGACGCCCGGTGCCCCTGGGGTGACGCCCGGTGCCCCTATGGTGACGCCCGGTGCCCCTCTGGTGACGCCCGGTGCCCCTATGGTGACGCCCGGTGCCCCTGTGGTGACGCCCGGTGCCCCTGTGGTGACGCCCGGTGCCCCTATGGTGACGCCCGGTGCCCCTCTGGTGACGCCCGGTGCCCCTGTGGTGACGCACGGTGCCCCTGTGGTGACGCCCGGTGCCCCTCTGGTGACGCCCGGTGCCCCTATGGTGACGCCCGGTGCCCCTGGGGTGACGCCCGGTGCCCCTATGGTGACGCCCGGTGCCCCTCTGGTGACGCCCGGTGCCCCTATGGTGACGCCCGGTGCCCCTGTGGTGACGCCCGGTGCCCCTGTGGTGACGCCCGGTGCCCCTATGGTGACGCCCGGTGCCCCTCTGGTGACGCCCGGTGCCCCTGTGGTGACGCCCGGTGCCCCTATGGTGACGCCCGGTGCCCCTCTGGTGACGCCCGGTGCCCCTGTGGTGACGCACGGTGCCCCTGTGGTGACGCCCGGTGCCCCTCTGGTGACGCCCGGTGCCCCTGTGGTGACGCCCGGTGCCCCTATGGTGACGCCCGGTGCCCCTCTGGTGACGCCCGGTGCCCCTGTGGTGACGCCCGGTGCCCCTATGGTGACGCCCGGTGCCCCTCTGGTGACGCCCGGTGCCCCTGTGGTGACGCACGGTGCCCCTGTGGTGACGCCCGGTGCCCCTCTGGTGACGCCCGGTGCCCCTGGGGTGACGCCCGGTGCCCCTATGGTGACGCCCGGTGCCCCTCTGGTGACGCCCGGTGCCCCTGTGGTGACGCCCGGTGCCCGACCGGCGGCAGGTGGAGGGACACCCCAACAAGGACGTGCTGCTGGAGTCGGCGCGCCGGCTCCGACTCGAGAAGGACCGCGAACAGGAGCTGGCCAACCAGAAGATCGAGCAGGAGCAGGCGATCGCGCGCGCCGACCAGCGGCTGGCGCGTCTGCAGGGACAGCTGAAGGACCTGCGCTCGGCCAGCATGGGCACCACGCCCGAGGGTGCGTCACGGCGCCTGTCCGGCTCGGCGGGTGCCGGCCGGACAGAGCGGGTGCAAGTCCTCCCGCTCCGTGGTACTGCTGGCTAGGTGCCTTATCATCACTGTGTCATTCTGCCTGTCACCGTTACTTGCCCCATCTTACCGTGTCCCACTGACGTCTGATCGTGTCCCACTGACCGTGTTCCACTGACTGACCGTCTGTCTGACCGTCCGACCACTGGCGGCACTGACTGACTCTATGGCCGTCCATTAGCTCTGATCCAGCGTTTGGAGGAGGACGTCAAGGTGCACAGCTACCTGGCCACAGAGAAGATGCCCAAGGAGTTGGAGGTGAAGAAGAAGCAGGTGGCCAACCTGGAGAAAGTGGCCAACGTGCCCGCCCTCACTGCACAGGATCTGGAGAAAATAAAGAAAAAGGTCAGTGGTTCAGAATAGGGTCTAAGCGGACCGAGCAGGCCCGTGGCCTAATGGACGGGAGGGCTGGCCGGCGGCGAGTTACCTAAGTGTGGAACTGTATTTACTCACCCGTCGATTCTAGGGCTCTGATTGGTGACTTTGGTCGGGGGCTGACGCTTATAGCATGACGTCACTCAGGTACTCGGCTGGACCAACGGCGCAGCGCAGGCGCGCCGAGCCAGTCCAGAGGCTCTCAAACTCAATTGTACAGATCCTGTGCATTGAATCGCGAAACTTCGGCGAGTTCGCCTGAGTTTGGAAGCCCCTGCCGGAGAACTGGAGAAGTGCGGTTTATTCGCTGGACAGTGGACAGCTCAGATGGCGATTGACGGTGCCAAAAAGATGATAGGGAGAAAGGAGTTCAGCAGTGAATTATGAGCCTGTGCTGTGCAATGTGCATGGCCGAGTAATTAATTGTTAAATGCTTACTGCTTAGGCTTGGAAGAAATGCAGCGAAGTTTAGCCGAACCAGGGGTATTCTGCCGAGTTACGAGTATGTAAGGCGGAAGGGTCGCAAGTCGTTTGTTTCCATGAATGCACTAATGAAAATGTAAAGCGTAATGTTCAGTTGTTAATTCAGTGTGGTTGGGCATCTGCTCAATCTGTTCCTTCTCTGCATAGTGCATTCGCCACTAATTCATTTCAAGAGGCACTGCTGCGCCGCCTGTTTATTAGTCCGAAACCAGGGTGTCCGAAACATCTGAATTCATTCGCTGTAACTTACAACAATACGAATCGTGCAGTCATGCGCTGGGGGTCCGCCAAGTTTGAGTGTGCTGCAGAATGCAGACTGGGCCGCCGAGAATATAACATTCCCGTCTCCCTGGGCGAACGGCGCATTGGAGCTGAAGGAAACTGCTTCAGTTTTTTTTTTGTGGGGAGGATACCCATGTTTGAAAATTATGTTCGGGAGTGATGAGATGTGGAAAAGGTTTGCTGAATCGAGGGCTGTCGAGAAGATGCAGATTTTCTCATTTGCTAACCGATACAACGCAAAAAGACGCAAATGTTGCACTTTTTCAGGGCTTAACCCGCGCGGGGCTGGGGTCTCCAGCCGAACGCGCGGGGCTGGGGGGGGGGGGTAAATTTTACCCCCCCCCTGTTATCTCCCGAACTAATGGTCCGATTTGGAAAATTCAAACGCCAATCGAAAGCTCTCATCACGAACTACTAAAAACATGTACTTGATTTAAAGTTTGAGGTCAAGGTCAAGGTCAGGTCAAGGGTACAAATTGCAAGTTTCTACAGTATCGGCCTTGCACCGTAGTTGCCGAAGAATGGAGTCATGGACTGAGACTGATCGCCCAAAACGTGTTCTTAGGCTACCAAGACAATATTCGTTGCATACAATATCATTCAGAGGTCAAGGTCAAGGTCAGGTCAGGTCAGGTCAGGTCACCAAAAAACCAAATATAGAAAAGGGCATGTGCGACACATGTTTTATGGGTCATTTTACTCATAGAATTCAATAGGCACACTCAATAAGTGATATGGACCACCTCTGGATGAATTTCAGGTCGAGGTCAGGTCAAGGTCAGGTCAAGTGAGGTCAAATTTTGAAGTTGGTTGTTAAGGCCTAAAAAGGTGTCTATCTGATGCAGTTTTTCACGGCGAATCGAATGGTGCTATTTTTGTTTTCGTACGAGGTCTAGAACTTCCAAAAAAGTCATTTTTCAAAAAATTTGTGTGTCGTGACGTCATAAAATTTTGAATAACTCCCACATTTTTGAACCGATTCTTCTAAAATTTGGTAATTAGGTGCACATAGACCACTTCTGTGACATATATTCCGGTTTCTCGATAGACTCAAAATTTTGGATTTTATAATGATTTTCCCAAAAAAAATCAGTTTTTTGAAAAAATTTAGGCCAAAATCCAAAATTTTCAAAAAACCGAGATAGCCATTTGATAGACAAAGTAAAATTACGTATAACCTTTTTTTGTTACGTCTTGATTCCTTTAAAAATGAAGATGTTAGCGGCGTTTGAACTTTTGCCGTTTTTGAGGCGAAAATGGCGAACATGACGTCACTAAAACGTCAATTTCTCAAAAATTTTCCGACGGATTTCGCTCAAATTTTCCGGGAACGTGTCAAATTGATGTAAGAAAAGGTACTGAAAGTTTGGCGGCGCTGCGCGCCGCCGTTTTTGAGATATCGCAAAAATTCGCGAGGGGGGGTAAAATTTACCCCCCCAGCCCCGCGCGGGTTGAGTCTAATAAAAGATTAGGGACTTCGTGAATCATGCCTTTTGACCGCGACCCAGTTATTTGCCACTGGGTAGGTACTAGGTAGGTACTCATTTGTGAACAGAACGTTCTACCACCACTTGCCAGAAATTCAATGAGCAGACAGCAATTGCTTATCCTTAAACGTTTGAGTGCACCTAACAACCTTTAAAAATAACGTCCTCCCTTTCAATGGTTTGCGCGAAGACACATAGCCATAATCAACCAAGCAATGGCAGAATCCATTGAGCAGCGTGTCAGATGTGCCCCCCAATTCTCAATCCACATAGCATAGCATACACTAAATGTAGGTACACGCACCTACACATTAGGTATTTGAAGGACTTGATAGCTGATACACATGAAAGAAACACAAGGCGCTAAAATTAAACGCAATTAACTAGCTGTAGCAGAAGTTTGGCGTCCGATGCCTCTTCGCCAAGTTAAGACAATGCCAATCTCGACCAGTCTGCCGCCGCGCCGGCACCGGCCGTGGTGTGACGTCATCCGGCCGGCACGTCGACGTACAGTTCCACACTTAGGTAACTCGCTGGCCGGCGCGCTGGCGCAGTGGCTTTGGAGTGCCGAGCCGTTATTAGGTGCTGGAGACGAACTGTGAGTCTCACTTTACTGTATGTTGTGGAACACCAAATAGCTATTTGCTCGAGGCAGCCGGTAGTTTTGGTACATTGCTGCCGCCCTGATGGCTCCAGTTATAGATACGATGCCTGCTTTGTGTGCGCCCGTCGGAGGGTGCGCTGTGCCGCTCGCCGTCTGACACCCCTGTCTCGGCTGGGCAGATCGGCCTGGTGAACAGCGAGGTGGCCCACCTGGTGGAGCAGCGCATGATGGCCTCGGACTCGTCCGACGACAAGCTGGGCATGTTCCGCCAGCAGGCGGCCATCGTGGCCAAGAAGAAGGAGGCCGCCGCCGAGAAGCTGCAGGAGATGCAGCAGCAGCTGCAGCAGATCAAGGACGATCTGGCGGTACGGCGCGGGGGACCGGCGCGGGGCGGGGACCCGCGGGGCTGGGACCTGTGTGACGTACAGAGCCTGTGGCGCCAGTCATACAGTACCGAGCGGGCTTAGCTTACCGTACTGGGCCGTGAGCAGCTGCCAATGGGGACTGCTGGCCTCCGTCAGTATCACTGGGGTCTGGTCTCGTGGCCTGTTGGTTGTGTGGATCGCGCACCTCTGCTCAGAAGAAGCGCACGCCCCTCTGTCCAATATGCCCTCTCTGTGTCCCGGCTGACTGTGGACGCTCCCTCCTCAGGAGAAGCGCGCGCAGCTGGAGGAGCAGGGCGGCGCGGAGGGCACTGTGCGCGGCGACGACTTCAAGCAGTACGTGCACCAGCTGCGCGGGAAGTCGGCCGTCTACAAGAAGAAGCGGCTCGAGGTTGGGGAGCTGCGCGCCGAGTTCGGCGTGCTCAGCCGTACGCTGGAGATCCTGAAGGGCAAGGACGCCATCATCTCCAACATGGTGGTGAGTTTGGCCGCGCGCGCCGCCGAGCGCCGGGCCGTCTGCCACCGGGGACCCCTCCAGTGCAGAGCCGACTCACCGACGAGCGGCGCCAGCAGCGGACTTCTGCTAGAACACTTAACCTTTGCCAGTCCCGGAGTTGTTTCCTTTGGTAGCTGTGGTGCTGTAGGGCGGAATTATATCACTATTGTATAATTCAATGATGCTAATGTCAGCGTCTCCATAAGATAAGAGTGAAAGTCCCGCGGCCTGTCTGACCGAGCCGCCCCGGCAGGCCGAGATAGAGCGAGGGTGGCGGATAGAGCCCCGGGGTGTCTGACGGAGCGGGGGGGGGGGGTCGGATAGAGCGGCCCCCGGCCTGTCTGACCGAGCCGCCCCGGCAGGCCGAGATGGAGCGGGAGCGCGGTGTGACTGGCATCAGCAGCACCCAGGAGCAGCTGGAGCAGGCCTCCGAGAGCAAGGCCAGCCTGGACGAACAGAAGGGCGAGACGCTCAACGACATGTCCGCCATGGTGCTGCGGCTCAACGAGAAAATCGCCCAGCGCAAGGCCAAACTGGCGCCCATCATCAAAGGTGAGCAGCACGCACGGCTGGCGGTGTCCGTCCCGCGGCCAGGGGCTGTCCCGGGGTCTCCGAACCCGACACCAGTCCTTCCGGCTCCCCAGTGTGTTCCCGGACCGATGCTAGCCCTGCATGCCGTCAATGTCCATGCACAGCCGTTTGAATGACCCGATGTGCGCCGTGTCATCTCAATGTGCAGCCGTGTGACTCAGCGTGACACCCGGTGTCATTGTGTCGGTATATGACACCCGGTGTCGGTGTCAGTATATGATACCCGGTGTCGGTGTCGGTATATGACACCCGGTGTCGGTGTCTGTATATGATACCCGGTGTCGGTGTCGGTATATGATACCCGGGTATGACACCCGGTGTCGGTTTTACTCATTGTCGGTGTGTCGGTATGACACCCGGTGTGAGGTTTGTCGGCACATGACACCCGGGTATGACACCCGGTGTCGGTGTGTTGGTATGTCACCCGGTGTCTTGTCCCCGACAGAGCTGCGCGGAATGCGCCAGCAGAGTCAGGAGGTCACCATCGACTACGAGGAGAAAAAGCACGCGTACGACTCGATGGCCGCCGGCCTGGAGAGCAACAACGCTAAACTGGAGTCGGTGAGTGGAGAGGGACAACGCCCAGCTGTGGTCAGTGAGTGGGGAGGGACAGCGCCCAGCTGTGGTCGGTGAGTGGGGAGGGACAACGCCCAGCTGTGGTCGGTGAGTGGGGAGGGACAACGCCCAGCTGTAGTCGGTGAGTGGGGAGGGACAACACCCAGCTGTGGTCGGTGAGTGGGGAGGGACAACGCCCAGCTCTAGTCGGTGAGTGGGGAGGGATAACGCCCAGCTGTGGTCGGTGAGTGGGGAGGGACAACGCCCAGCTGGAGTCGGTGAGTGGGGAGGGACAACGCCCAGCTGGAGTCGGTGAGTGGAGAGGGACAACGCCCAGCTGTTGTCGGTGAGTGGGGAGGGACAACGCCCAGCTGTGGCCGGTGAGTGGGGAGGGATAACGCCCAGCTGTGGTCGGTGAGTGGGGAGGGACAGCGCCCAAACTGGAGTCGGTGAGTGGGGAGGGACAACGCCCAGCTGTGGTCGGTGAGTGGGGAGGGACAACGCCCAAACTGGAGTCGGTGAGTGAGGAGGGACAACGCCCAGCTGTGGTCGGTGAGTGGGGAGGGACAACACCCAGCTCTGGTCGGTGAGTGGGGAGGGACAACGCCCAGCTGTGGCCGGTGAGTGGGGAGGGATAACGCCCAGCTGTGGTCGGTGAGTGGGGAGGGACAGCGCCCAAACTGGAGTCGGTGAGTGGGGAGGGACAACGCCCAGCTGTGGTCGGTGAGTGGGGAGGGACAACGCCCAGCTCTGGTCGGTGAGTGGGGAGGGACAACGCCCAGCTGTGGCCGGTGAGTGGGGAGGGATAACGCCCAGCTGTGGTCGGTGAGTGGGGAGGGACAGCGCCCAAACTGGAGTCGGTGAGTGGGGAGGGATAACGCCCAGCTGTGGTCGGTGAGTGGGGAGGGACAGCGCCCAAACTGGAGTCGGTGAGTGGGGAGGGACAACGCCCAGCTCTGGTCGGTGAGTGGGGAGGGACAACGCCCAGCTGTGGCCGGTGAGTGGGGAGGGATAACGCCCAGCTGTGGTCGGTGAGTGGGGAGGGACAGCGCCCAAACTGGAGTCGGTGAGTGGGGAGGGACAACGCCCAGCTGTGGTCGGTGAGTGGGGAGGGACAACGCCCAAACTGGAGTCGGTGAGTGAGGAGGGACAACGCCCAGCTGTGGTCGGTGAGTGGGGAGGGACAACGCCCAAACTGGAGTCGGTGAGTGGGGAGGGACAACGCCCAGCTGGAGTCGGTGAGTGGAGAGGGACAACGCCCAGCTGTGGTCGGTGAGTGGGGAGGGACAACGCCCAAACTGGAGTCGGTGAGTGGGGAGGGACAACGCCCAGCTGTGGTCGGTGAGTGGGGAGGGACAGCGCCCAGCTGTGGTCGGTGAGTGGGGAGGGACAGCGCCCAGCTGGAGTCGTTGAGTGTCCCGGTGGCAGCAGAGCACGCCATACGCCCGGCATTGACGGCGCGTGCCGAGACCGCTCTTGGTGCCAGCTGACTGCCAAGTCCGGGGAACATAGATGATTCTATGGGAAACTGAGCGTTGTTCTATGCACCTGGGTGCCTCTGACGGAGATTGGGGTGAGTGACTTGTGAACACGGCTTTACAAGTGTTTTTTTTTTATAAATTTAGCTCGAATGTTTGAATGGACGGATTGACAGAGCCGGAGTCCACGCTAAGCAGAGCTTGTTGCGTAGACCCCGACCCCTTCCGTCCGATCGCGCAATTCCGGGTAACGGGAGAATTTAGATGCCAAAGTTTAACGTGCCCTTCAAAGCCGGACACGGCCTGTCCCACTCCACTGACTTCAACTGGCTGCTGCTGCTCCCACCAACCGCAGACCATCCCCGTCAGGAGTCTCAAATATCGAGCGCCGGAGCGTCTCGAACCCGGGCTCTCACTACCGGGAGTCCAATGCTCTACCAACTGAGCTACGGGACAGGCTGTGCACCCGTGTTGGTGCACGGGTTACGAGTGACTGCCCGTCTGCGACTGTGTGCATTTGTCTGTGTGTCTGTCTGCGACTGTGTCTGTATGTTTGTCTGCGACTGTGACTATATCTTTGTGTCCGAGCAGGAGGTTCGCGACATGAAGCGAGAGCTGGCCGAATCCGAGTCGCGAATGCACTGGCTGACGGCACAGCGCGAGATTCTGGAGGCCCAGAAAGCCATGGCCGAGCAGGAGGCTAAGCTGTACACGGACAAGGGCAAGGGCAAGTCGCGCCGCGACCAGCTTCAGGTGGGACTCTGCGGCGGGCACAGCTCGCTGCCGACATATTATCTCCGGCGGGCTGTAAATGGAACAACTTTATCGGGGTGTCGCTTAATTTGGGAGGGAAGGGAGGCACAGTCTGTTAGCTTTTGAGCTGACTCACGAGTCACGAGCCACTAGGACTTTGGCTGAAAACATTTTAACCCACCAATCGTCGCAAGGCGTTCTTGTCATTCATTCATTCATTCATTCATTCAGTCAGTCAGTCAGTCAGTCAGTCAGTCAGTCATTCATTCCCACTAAGCTTTTCATTCGTTTAGGAAACAAGGGAGTGAGTCCAACCTGTAAGGGAATAAGTGAAACCTGAACATCGCAGAAATCATCTGATAGGCGATACACTTCTTGTCATATGCCTATATAGGCACATGACAATTGTCATAGGGGAGACCCGAGAGGTATGGGCCCCCGGAGGGTATCCATGGACTACACCTCACTCCTGAACCATTTTAAAATCCAGTCCATCGAAGCTCGCCTGATTCAAACCGACATGAGGTCCTTGCAGTCTGTCATGCATGACCGCCTGGACTGCCAGCATCTTGTCTCCGTGTTCTCGCTGGCTGTTCCCTCACGACGTACCCGTCACACTGGCATGTTCCATGTGCCGGGCGGGCGAGTGAAATCTGTGCGTAACGGTTTCCTGTCGTGGTTACCGGAAACATGCAACGCACTTTTGAAAAAAGCGCCAGGGACTGATTTCTTTTACTCACTATTTTCTTTTAGAGCTCACTAGGTTTTCAAGTTCGCAAACAGTGAGGGTTCCTACTGTTGTCCATAGCTGGGGCAGCGGTGCTATCTACATATGCTTAAACTACGTTGTCTAGTCATTCATCTTTCATGTTCGTGCATCTTTTATGTGCCCATAATAATGTTATGTGAGCAGCCGTAAGTGGGCCTGGAGCCTGTGGTTGTTTCGTGCGTAATACATAATGTAAACGCGTAATGCGTAATACGTTATGTAAACAAATAAACAAGTATGGGCCATCGCAGTTTTGAAGAAGTGTTCCGTATTTTTCCACATTTGACCACGTAAACTGGTAGCAGCCATTTCGTTATACAACCCACGTTATTTCGAAAATCTTCCTCAATCTTCTTTGGTAATGAGCGATGATAAAGCTTTGCCCTCTTCGAGTAAAATAGGAACATAAAGTAAATTCGTGATTAATGTGAACCAGGCTCGTTTTATTATGTCAGACCATCGCTAACATAAAGTTAAAAGCACGCAAATTAAGACTGGATAGACAATTCGAAGCTTTCTTGCAAGGTTATGAGCTGAAATGCTACGCGCATTCTGGCCTCCTAACCGGGAGGTTCGGACCACTCAAGGTAGATCGCAGCTACGAGTATTGTTCTCAATGTCGACAAAAGAATATGAAACATGCCACCGGCCCATACCTACCTGGCCATGGCCCATGCCTCCCGGTGTATTTTGATGGATCGAAAAAGCGCATGATTTATTAAAAGTTACCTGGAGACAAAGTAGTTGATCCCAGATGCCTAATATCAGGCACACTTTACAGGCGAAAGGCGATATTACGTACACAGTGTGAAAAATCAGATCTAGCCACTGCCCACTGGAAGAAAATTACCATTTCACAAAACCGTCCCATACCTCCCGGGTCTCCCCTGTGCCTATGTTTCACTATTAATAGTGAATAATTGATTTGTACTTGAGGTATGCAAATATACAATTTACACTGATATTCGGAATTTCAGGCTCTGATTGCTGAGCAGGAAAAACAAAGCAAGATACTCAAAGAAGATCACAAGAATCTGAAGGAAACATCGGTTGGCTCGGCAAAGCAGATGCAAATGTGGAAGGATCTATTGAAGTAAGTGTTTAGGAAAGTGAAATTGCAGGTAATTGAAATTAAAAAATCTTAACAAATAGCTATAGCCAGATGATTTTAAAGAACATTCGCCTTGTGCCTTTTTAAACTCCAGGCTTCTTTTGCAGTTGGAATTATCAGACCGAATCCGACCGTGACTGTGGTCTGACGGGGTCCGCCGTCTGTCCTTGTCTGACCGTCTGTCTGTGTATGCTGTCTGACCGTCTGCCCGTGTGTGACCGTCTGTCCGCTGTCTGACCGTCTGACCGTGTGTGACCGTCTGTCCGCTGTCTGACCGTCTGACCGTGTCCGCCACGCAGGCTGGTGGAGATGAAGCGCCAGTGCTGGGACGCGCCCAAACGCCAGGCCTCGGCCGGCAGGTTCCAGAAAGAGTCGGCTGGAGAGCGGCTGGAGCTGTAGGCGGCCGCCCTTGGCCAGCTGCCGGCCCGGCGCACCGCCCCGCGCCGGTCCGCTGAGCCTCCCTGCACCGGGACCGCTATGACCGCCGAGTAACAGCCCGGCGCACGCAGTCTCACCAGCCTCACCAGCACTTATGCCTATGCGATGTCACGGAGCTTTCGTTGTCTGTGGTCTCTAGTCGTTATTTTGTTTATTATATTGCGTTGGTGGAAATAAGATCTGGGATTTATTTCAGTCAGTCTACGCTATCAATCATCACATTGGTGTTTCGGTGCTCTAGCCTGCGAAGAGGTCTGCGAGCACAACTTATTTCTAGTCACTGATTGATCTCGTTTGACTACAATGTTTGTCCTTTAATGTGTTACCATTCTCGAATTTCAGGAACATTTGTGATGTGGGGATGGCCGATGTCATCTCTGTTAAATCCGTCCAATGAATCGTTACCTGATAATACACAAGCACTTGCTGTGAAACCAATATTTCTCTTGCTGTGTTGGATGTTAACCCGTGCCGGGCCGGGGGGGGGGTGTTTGACCCCCCTCCCTGCGTTTTTTCGCAGATATCTCAAAAATGGCGGCGCGGAGCGCCGTCGTTTTTGGCATACCTGTTCATGCATCTTTTCCACACATGTTAAAATTTCAGACCCAGGACTCTCAAGGTCAGAGGTCAGGTCACCAGGTCAGGTCAAGTGACATCACCTCAGAAAAGTTTCAATCCTCGTCATAGCTACACCGATTGAACGATCACCTTGAAACTTTCAGCGATTGATAAGAGTAACAGTATGTACAAAATGTATATCTCGGAATTTTGATATCGGTCAGGTCAATTTTGCGACCTCTGTATTATAGGCCAATGGGAGAAAATTGAAATGCGCCTCTTTTGTACGAATGATGTTCAAAACCCTCTCAAACATCGGTACATAGGTAAATATGACACACTGAATCGGAAAAATGTACCTGTGACCGCTCTGGGTACCCCTGAGGTCATCTCAGGTCATGAACGGTCACCAGCAGTTGTTTGGCTATAACTTTGGATAAAGACGTGCTAGAGCGATGAAAACAGTTGGAGGTATTCAGCTCGATGATACGGATCGACTGATATGCAACATGACCCTTTCTGGTCAGGTCATGACCTTGACCTGAGGTCAAATTTTCAAAATGACCTTTCAAGGTCAACAACCCAGTAAACATGCCGACGTCGGCCCGACGTCGGCCGACGTCGGGGTGACGTCGGCAACTCGGCATCGGCATGCCGACGTCGTCCCGACGTCGGCCCAACCTCGGCACGACGTCGGCTGGATGTCGGATGTGCCCGCATGTACCGACGTCCAGCCGAGGTCCAGCCGACGTCGGGCCGACGTCGGACCGAGATCAATTGCTGAGGTCCAGCCGACGTCGGGGCGACGTCGGACCGACATCGGGGCGACGTCGGACCGACATCGGCCGCTGTTTTGACCGTTAAAATAATATAAAATACATGTTTCATGTTTCATAAAGAGCTTCTGTATTCAAAATATCCTCAGGAAACTCAAATCTTCCTCCACGCCGCAACCCCCTGATCCGGAATGGACGGGAAACTTTATCCCATTTGGGATTGCCCGTAAGCCGAGCTCGCCCGTAGCAGGGTGCGATGAGTGCTTGGGGGCTGCTCGGCCTATCCTTTGGTCAGGCTCAGCCCCGGCAACTCACCAGGGCTGGGCCCAGTTCATATAGAAAGGCCAGTCGGCAAGTGCCACTTTGCCAAAGTGCCACTTATCAAAGGGACACTTTGGGAAACGTTGGTGCAGGTGTGTAAGAGTGGCTATATGAATCCATTGTGGGGTCGCCCTTTCCAATAAGTGTCACGTAACAGCAATGGGACCAGGGACTCTATATGAACTGGACCCAGGGTGCTCGCCAAGAAGACCAATGTCTCCATCCTATCATCCTTCCGGCTCTGAAATGGTCTTGTCAGACCGAAAGGGCATAACCCAACAAAACAAACTAAATACGCTATCTGGCTGAGTGGTGTAGTGGTCAGCGCACTAACCTCGCGTTCAAGTGACACGGGGTTTGAATCCCATCGCCGGCTGATGCTTTTGGCGTGTTGTCCCAGTAAACATGCCGACGTCGGCGACTGGGGGGCTCGAATCCCGCTGCCGGTTGATATTTTTGGCGCGTTGTCCCAATAAACATGCCGACGTCGGCCCCGTCGGTCCAACGACAAACGATCTCGTCAACCTCGGCAAACGACCTCGGCCCGACGTCGGCTCGACGTCGGCTGGACTTCGGCTGGACGTCGGAACATGCGGGCATATCCAACGTCCAGCCGATGTCGGGCCGAGCCTCGGCCCGACGTCGGGCCGACGTCGGCATGTTTACTGGGCTGCGCCGATCGTCACCAAACTTTCAGTACCTACCTACACTGAAAGAAAAGTACACCTTGGTGGTATTTTTGGGTGATATTTGTAACCACTTTACACCACTTTCTAGACTAATTGTACCACCTTTAACCGAAAATTCAGAGTAAAAAGATGACTAGGTGCATTTTTACTCAACTTAGGTGTAATTTATACAGTACTTTAGGCTTTTCTTGCAACTATGGTGTAATTTCATGTTCTTATGTTTTTACACCTCAGCCTTTTGGTAGTAAAATTATTACCCAAGGGTAGTTTGAATCTCATGCGGATGATAAATGGCTAGTTGGTAGCATAAATTTACACTAGCGTGGCTCAGCTGATTACCGCAAAACCTAAATGGAGTAAATTTACACCGTGGGCTTGATGAGCGATGGATTGTTAGGTGTGGTTTTATGCTACATGGTTATTTCACTCTTCAAGGATATATTTTTACAGCTTGGAGCGTTATTTTACAACAGTGTTCCACGTGGCCATTTTAACCGCCATTTTGAATCGCCATTTGCATGGTGAACTGTGAAGCGTGGGGTGGCGTGGATGAAGCGCGGCAGTTCCCTATACACCGTGCATACTGCATATATCGTGAAGCGAGGCCTCCGGTGCGGCGAAGCATGCAGTGTCTGCTAGACGACCAAAACTGCGGCAAGCAGTGAACAACAAAGGTAAGGCTTTAAATGTATCTTTTGGCTAGGTATAGGCAAGGTGAAGGATGTTGCCGCATTGGTTATGATGCGCACATATGCAAGATCCCATTCAGTCTGCGTGAAGACCATGACCGATTTGAAGCTGCATCACAATTGTCAATCATTAACCCGCGCCCCGTAGGGCTATCAGCGAACCCTGCCACCCGTAGCCCCCCCCCCCCTAAGATCTCGGAAAGTCACCGGCCGATTTTCAAAATTCAAACGGTGTTCGAAAGCCCCACCAAGGAAGTACCTTGTGACTTAATTTCATTGACCTCGATCCAACCGATGACGTCACAGGTCAGGTCAAAGGTCGCATTTTTACCACTTACAGGCATTCCAAGAAATGTATTGTAAAATAGAGTAAAAGGCATGTTATTAAAAACCATGGATGGATAATTGTCTGTCGAACACATTTTGCTATTAGAGGTCACTGATACTAGGTCAGGTCATAGAGGTCAGGTCACTGAGGGCCACGATATGAAAGTGTCGTTTGATACATGTTTCATGGTCCATTTTACATGACAAATGTGATTGTGTGGATTAGGCAACCTTTGGGGCCATTTTAGGTTATGTTCTGGGAAAGGTCAGGTCAAGGTCAGGTCAAATTAGGTCAAGTTTCAAAGTTGATATTTTGCATAAAATGAGTAATGATTCGATGCAACTCGTCACGGGGAGTCTAATGGTGGTCTTTGTATTGAGCTACGTGATCTAGAATTACTAAAAATTGAGTTTGAAAATATGACCTCATCAATTTTGAAGTTTTCTCTCTACAACTTGGCCAAAAAAGAGGTATCGATCTCAAATTTGGTGTGTAGATGGAAGATAGTAGGGACTATCATACAAATTCCGTTTTTTCAATCCGGAAATTTTTTGGGATTTTTTGTTATTATATCCAAAAAATAACTTTTTGGATTTTGGGGGTCAAAAACCAAAAGTTACGAAAATCTGAGATGACAGATTGATAGCCCTGGTAATTCTATACCTTCTATGCATTAAACATTTTTCTGTATCTTCAAAGCTGTAGGCCTGACAGCTCTTCCCGCGATTTTTTTGTTTTTTTTTTGTCGAAAATGACAGAAAATGACGTCATTCTGACGTCATTTGTGGCCAACCTATCGTAGCCTTTGAAAAAATGATCACAATGTGTAAAATTGATGTTCGGAGGGGTTCTGAAAGTTTGATGACGATATCTGCAGTCGTTTAGGAGATATTCACGGAAAAAGACAGGGAGGGGCCGTTTCGCCCCCACCCCCATCCCCCTCCTACGGGGCGCGGGTTAATAAAAATTATGCAAGACTAGGTACAGGCACGTAGTCAGGATTTTGCTCAGGTTGGGCCACAGGTCGCGGCCTGGTGTCGTACCTATACCCCCTCCAAAAAAGGAAAACTTCGGATTTCGCCCACTATTTTCGGGGTGTGTGGTGCAGCTGATTTTTTTTACTTTATTTCATTTTATGTTTGGCCATCAGGGGGACCATGGTCCCTGTGACCCCCCCCCTTGGCTAAGTCCCTGACTAGGTAAGGTGTTTTAAGGTTTTCAATATTTTCATTAACAGTCATACTTCTTATCGATTCAAGCGGGAACATTTTTTTCTGGTATTTATTATTATTCCATCATTGACTGCATTGTGCCTAAAAGGCTATAGGGGTATTACCTACTATATCAGACGTCCAACATGCTAACATGCGTCTAGCACGTCTAACAATATTTGTTTTCCTTCCATTTCAGTCGTGGCACGACCTGACCCCTGATTATGGGGACTAGTGAGGAGCCAAATGAAAGAGTGAGGGGGACTAGTGAGGAGCCAAATGAAATCAAATGAAAGAGTCGTCAAGAACATCCAGCAAGTGTGTGAGTAGCGTGGGGGGAACGGTGGTTGCGGGGTCATTGGTTACTTTATATATGTCCCTCTTAGTCTTCACAGACCAGCTACAAGCGTTGGCATTTTGGCCTCTCTCTGATCCCGGCGAAATTAGCACACTATATTCATTCATGACTTAAAGATGCGTAATTATAATTAAACTTTACCTGATTTGTCATTTTGATTCTATCCGTATACACATGTCTGATGTATCTTTACTCAACAGTAAAAGTAAATCTACGTATTGCATCCTGAACCGGTGAATACATGCAGTCAATTTATATCTCAGCTGCACCACGGGAGGGCAGCGAGCCGCGCTCCTGACGGGTCCCAAGGGGCTGAGGCTTCAACGGTAGTAAGTAACCCCACACAGATTTTTATCCTCCGGGCTCCGCTTTGTCGGGAAATCTATCACTGCTAGTTACCTACTTTATTTCCCTCCTCACAGGTGACGAACTGGTGGCGCTACTCGCCTACGGACGCTGGGCGATCTCAAGAACGAGCAGAGCTCCGTGAGTGTTCACTTCTTCAGTC